ACCCAATTGCAAGATAATGCTATTACTGAGCCCAATTAAATCACACAGTGTTCTGCCTGCTCCCAGATAAGTTTTAGTTGATTAAACAATTTGGAGATAATCTTTGATGAGAAATTGTACCAAGTTAACAGTTCATCTTGGTCCTTCCTCATTTTGGAAAGAGTCTTTTCATTGAATTTCAAGCCCCAAACCTTTTTGAAATTGATTACTATATGGTATGAGAAATTTTGACTTTGGACAACATCACATCATGTTGTGATGGGAAGAATAAAACATTTTAGAGGAAACTCAACTTCATTGTTGATCATTTGTAAACCTGATGGTTTAAAAGTTCTGTTGATGATACCTTGACTTATTAAAACTCTTTCCAAGTAATAATAATGCCTCTTAATTCTAACTTTTCAGGCAATTGTGAATATTTCCCAAAAAGTGAAGAAGCAAGCCTCAGATCACTTACTGAAGAAAGATCATAGGTTTAATTACAACCCAAAGTTTATTTATCCTTCTATTTAGGTTTCCTAAAGCTAAAAATGAATTTCTCTTTGTCTTTCAGAATTGTGGCCAAGAAGGAGATTTGCTTGAAATCAAAGGTGGCAGTGGACTGGATAGTGACAGTATGCAGCCATTCAAGACATTCTGCTCTGTGAATTCAGTCAATGGTAAGCCATGGACAATGAACATGCTGTGAACCAGAATAAATCAAGTTTTAAAAATGAAAAATATGCATAAAAAAAAGAAAATCTAAACATAACCAGTTCTAAAATATGAAAAATATTCATAAGAAATCTCAAACACTTCAAAAGATTGGAAATTGTAAAAAAAATAGTCCAAGAATGTTGAAGCATTCTTCAACAATAAAATCTCTCAGCAGGAATTTGCTGTCCTTTCTAAATAANCAGGTCCAACAGGAGCAAAGGAAGGCACATACAAGGCCAGTGTTCTTTGTGGGTCCACCACAGTGAGGCTGTCATCTTCAGGCCACAGCTACAACACAGTCAAGTTCTCTTTAAAGGCCATTCCTCTGGACAACCCTGAACAGATGCCGACTTTCCAGGGAGACCAGTTCTTTTGCCCAATGGAATTCTAATAACAAACGCGTGGCTCCACCAGAAGACCATACACAGTTACCAAGCAGTGGTGCTCACTTTCAGCACTGGGTTCATTTGGGTTTCTTTCTTTCTTCCTTTGGTCGGTGTTTTGAGGCTTGGTTAGCTAAAAATCTGTGGATGGTCTTGTTCATTGTCCGCGAAGCATAAATTGAGTTGACATGACAAATAAACAGCTATGCTGATGAGAGACGTGCACCTCGTGGGATTATTTTTATGTACATATTTTTTTCAATTCTTTATAGAACAGTGTTGGGAACCTTTTTAGGCCCCAAGGACTGGCAAATTTCCAAAGACTTTTTTTTTGCAGACAACAATATTATCAAAACATTTTCTGCAGACTGGCTGAGTTGCATAAAATGTTTGCAGGCTCAAAAAGTTTTTTGTTGAAAGGCTTAATGATAGTTATTTTAAAAGTTTCTGCTTTTTTTTTCAAAAATCAGGTCAAGAACCAGTGAAGCAGCAATTTTGGAGTGGCAAAATAGGAACTTGTGCTTGAATAAAGGTTTCTCAGAATGAACTATTACAATAATTTACTTCAATATAGGTGAAAATCTGTCTGAAGCGTTATTTGGAGAAAAAGCCAACTTTGATTTTTCATCAAATAATTTCCACTGCCATTGCCTTTCCAAAATTTCAGATATAGATAACAGATGCTACTTTTGAACAATTTATTATGCTGAATATAGACTGGCAAAAATCTTCTGCATGGCCGTAGTGTATGTAAAAAGTACAAGCCTCAGTCACAGGCAAAGAACAATTGATTAGTTCCATTGTGATTATTACTGTATGAAAAATAGAAAAAATATTCACAGCAGATACATCCTAGAACTGTGCAGACACTATAGGGCAAAGAAGAAATTCTGTTCACATGTACCAGGAAGGCAAGTAAGTACATTCAGTGGAAAAGTTCTCAATTAAATCAAGTCCACATTTCTCATTGAGAAACTCTTTGAAACCTTGCAGATTGCACTTCAATTAGGTATGAACATTAAATTAAGACTCACATGCATCCAACCTGTGCCCTGATTTAGAGTCCTTTCAGCTTGAAAAAAAAAAAGTTTGAACAGGAATCCATGCATCAACATCCTTTGAATAGGTTTATTCCCAGATGAAAAATCTTTCTGTGTCTCTGTCTGTCTCTTGCTCTTCCTCTCCTTTTTTTTCAACTCTCCAGTACCAAGTGAAAGGAGCCAGGAAATCAAACATGTAACAACTGATAAAAGCGCAATAATCCAGATACATACCAAGTAAAGCCAGGTTCTAGTAAATGTCTCATAAAAAGCTTTACTTCTCACTGACTAATTTTGTATGTTTGACTTGAATGATTCACCTGCTATAAATAGGTGCCAGAATAAATGTTTACATGTAAGAAACATATTTTGAATTTCATTTTCAACTTATCTCATCTTTATTGCTTAGCAACTAACAGCTTTATTGAAAATGCTTCATTCTTGCAACAGCACATCAATTTATAAAATTTGAAGAAATTCACTTGATGAAAAAGTCTGCAGTCTGACAAATATTCAGGCAACCAAAGTTAGAGATCAAAAGTATTACCTTTAGTTTGCTTCAAGTTCAACTGAGGACAATGTTAGGAGCAGCAGCCATAAGTGAAACTGGAGTAATTCTTATTATCCAAGGTTGACAAAGTTTAAAGCAATTGACCAAGCAAAAGATCAAAATTGTTCTTCCATTAGAATGTTGACATAATGCTTCAAAAAGGGTACAATTGAAAATTCATTTTTAGTTTGCTCAAAGATCCCCTTTTAAACTGATATAAACACGTTTCTTCCCTTTTCTATTCACAAAAACAAAATATCAACGATGAAAATTTCATCATAAAGCAATTTCTAATCCCAATTTAAAGCACATGGTGTTCAGCCTGCTCCCAGACAAGTTTTAGTTGATTGAACAATTTGGGGAGAATCTTTTATGAGAAATCATGTGAAGTTAACAGTTGATCTTAATTCTCTAAGATTTTAGAAAAAAAAACATTTTATTGAATTGTAAGAGTCCCAAATCCTTTTGAAACTCATTTCTGTAGCTGTGGAATGCTAGGCATAAGGAAATAAGGTGCTCTTGTGATGCATTAACCAATGTATTTATACTACAAAAATTACAGCACTTAGACACATAATAAAATTTGATGATTTTTTATTTGAATGCCATGAACTTTTCAAAAGAGCTTAGGTATCATGTACAAAGGGGATGTTAGATAACACAAATTGTAATGGTTCAGTTTTACCACTAATAGCAACATCAAAAACATATTATTTTACTAAAACATAGAAAACTATTACCTAAATTCTAACTATTGAACATTCATCATAGATTTTTTTGCATAATTTTTCCACTGAAGTATTTATAAATTCTTGGCTTTTCTTTTACTATAATACATCTAGGTCCAAAAAAATTTGGTTGAGGGTCCCACATAATCTACAATGTCTACAAAAATATCTTCAGTACAATGTTATACCCTCAGATGGGCTTGTGGTGTTTTTTGAAAAGGTGCTCAAGATGATGGAGTGTTGAGCACATGAAACTTTTATAAAATTAGCTTGCAAATCCAAATATGGAGGCACTTAGGGAAGTCGGAGTGCTTTTGTTTTTCAGGCCTTCAGCGCAGCAGCAGCTTTCATTTTTTTTATAAAAAAAACCATATAGTAAAGTTGAGAAAACACTTCCTTTCTTCCACTCTTGTATATCATGAATACTCCACGGCAGGGTTGAAATATGTAGAAGAATATGGACCTGAAGTGCTTTTTAGAATGGATAAATTTAAAATCCTACCATTCTCCATTGAGAAAGCAAATCATGATATTTTCAGCAATATTAGAGTGGCATCACACTCTACAGAATTTCAATCTT